AAAAATATGCTCCATGATTTATAGTTAACATAATATTAGATATACAAAGTATTCTAACACGAATAATAGTAAAATATAATTGACTTGCCGGAAAATAATTTTGAAATAAAATATGAATAACTTCAACAAGATGAGCTGAACGACAAACCATATAAACACTTAGAACACAAACAATCATTAGTGTAATACGAAAAAATGTATCCTGTTTACGATCATTAGAAAATGTTGTTTTTATATTTTTTTTTTGTAATTGTTTTTGAGCAATTTTAAGTGCACGAATTAAAAATAACCAAATAAAAAAACATATTAACCATGGTATTAATAGTGAAATTGAAACCATTAATGGATAATATAAACGAGAAAAAACTTTTGTCATTAATATTGAGGAACGTTGTAAACCATAATATGTAATACCATCACCAGTACAATATAATTGAATACTTGTAAATAGAAATAATGGTAAATTGACAAAAAATGATAAAATAAATATTGAAATAATAGCATAACGAGCTGTTCGACGATTGCAATAATTTTTGGCCAATAATGGTTTCTAAAATGAAAAAAAGAAAGAAGAAAAAATTTTTAAACTTTTAAATATAAAACAAGGATAAGAAACAAATGATTTTGTTTCAATGATATGTGTTTAAACACATATAATTTCTCTCCTTAATACTTAAAAATCAAATCAAAATATTGATCGATAGAAAAGAATATTTTTAAAAAAAATAATTTTCTTTTATTATCTAATCTGAGACAGGCTCATATTTTCTCATTTTATGTATACGTTTATCAATAGATTTATCGTATTAGAATTTATTTTCAATCGTCATTAGTAGTAAATTTGACATACAGTTCGTCTATCAGCATATATTACATAAAATTGTAATAATTACCTTGACCACAATTAATCGAAATGTTGTTATGAGAACAATCATCCAATTTGAAAATGTTGTAAAAATATTTGCTAATGAATTAAATAAATGTTTTGATATATTATGACTTGTTAGAAATGTTGATGATATTTCCATTTTTGGTAAACAATGATAAAATAGAATACTATTAATTGACACAACAGTGGGTGGTACTAAATCAGCGTAGGCCAATGTGACAAGTAATGTGGTCATTGTACTTCTCATATGACGTCTTGTTAATACAAATAAATTAATTAAATTTCCAGCATCAGCTAATATTGTTAATATAACACTAACAATGCCAAGTGTCCAATAGGCAAATGGACTTTTAAAATTAATTTCTGCCTGAAATGTAGGATCTAAACAAAAAATAAGAAATAATTTTTTAACTGTTCGTTATTTAAACTATTCGCTCACTCAGTCATGTTGTGGAACTAGTTTACAGAGAATTTGACTAACGAGAGAAGGTCTCCAAGTGTTACTCTCACTTTTCAATGGGATATATTCTAATTTATAGAGCTCGACGAACTGATTATGATGGCATAAAGTATTTTCTCTCATGTCTCTTAAAGACCCATTTTTCTGGAAAACCAGTTTTTCAGAAACTGGGAGGTGGGAGATGTCTCATTTTAATCAGAAATGTGTGCGCTACAATTCTGCCTCATTAAGGAAAATTTCAGTTATGTTTTAGAGTTTCTGAAAAAACTGGTTTTCCAGAAAAACGGGTCTTTAAGAGACATGGGGGAAAATGCTTTATGCCATCGTAATCAGCTCGTCGAGCTCTACAAATTAGAATATATCCCATTGAAAAGTAAGAGTAACACTTTCCCTCGTAAAACAA